CAATAAAATGACATTTTTAGAATTTTTATTGACAAGGTCTATTCAGTCTTCATAAAGTTACGAATAAATATGTTTCTTTATATTTTACTTCCAGATTTTTTAATGTTAATGTTAATAAAATTGAGAAAATAAAATTGATTCATGTATTTAACATATTTTGCTATTTATAAGTTTCTTCAACAAATATATATAACCAAATCTCTATCAAAACCTCTATATAATATGTAAATAAATATTTATATTTTACATAATGGCCAAAGCCTTAGTACAAGCCAAGCAAAACTTTTTTGTAAAGTAATAAATGTAAATATTAAATAATAATTTTTTAAATTTCGTCTCATTTCTCAAAATAGAGTACAATAAGTAAAAAGTAAGAGTACGCTGTTTTCCGACTTTGAAAAGAGTACATGTACTCTTAAAAGAGTACGGTTAGTAACCCTACATTGGGTAGGAACAATGACAATCTACGGATTAAAAATAATTCAAATTAAATATAATTTGACATTATGAATTTAACAGTATACGAGGGTCGTCTGAAAAGTTTTGAACCTAACATAGAAACAAGTAATTTTTCGGTCAAATTCAATTTTATTTTTCCACATAGTCTCCTTTTAAGTCGATACATTTTTTCCAGCGATGCTCCCATCCCTTTAATCCATTCAAATAATACTAATCGTCTTGCTTTGTAAAATAGGCGTCTACGGATGCGATGACCTCCTCGTTCGATGAAAATTTCTGTCCTCCGAGCCTAGGCCAAATTTTGAGCCTAGGAAACAGAAAAAAGTCGCTGGGGGCCAGATCTGGTGAATACGGTGGATGGTCAATTAATTCGAACCGCAATTCGTGAATTTTTGCCATAGCGACCGCCGAAGTGTGAGACGGTGCGTTATCTTGATGGAACAGCACTTTCTTCTTTTTCAAATGCGGTCGTTTTTTCTCCATTTCTGCCTTCATCTTGTCAAGCAATGATGCGTAGTACGTCCCTGTTATTGTTTTACCTTTTTCAAGATAGTCGATCAACACAATTCCATGACTGTCCCAAAAAACAGTCGCCATCACCTTTCCCGCCGATAAAACCGTCTTCGCTTTCTTCGGAGCATGTTCACCCTTCGCAGTCCACTGTTTTGATTGTTCTTTCGTTTCAGGAGTGAAGTGGTGGACCCCAAGTTTCATCAACCGTTATTAATCGACGCAAAAAATCCGACTCGTTTCGCTTAAACCGCTCCAACAGGGCCTTAAAAATGTTCATTCGAATGCGTTTTTGATCCAGAGTGAGCAAGCGCGGCATCCAACGCGCGGTTAACTTACGCATGCCTAATTCTTCAGTCAATATATGACAAACACGTTCTTTTGATATGTCAAGGTTAGGGAGACAGCCTCTGCTGTCTCCCTAACCTTAATTCGATGGTTGTCCATTATCATTTGATGAATTTCTTCGATGTTATCGATTTATATATTCGATGGTGGTCGCAGTTGTTGGCCGTCCCGAACGCTCATCATCAGCTAAGCTGGTACGACCACGTTTAAATTCAGCTACCCATCTTTTCACGGTGGCAAATGAATGAAATGGGGCAGAGTCCCCGTAAACAGCGTCCAACTCGGCTTTAATTTGTGTAGACGTATTGCCTTTCAAATGCAAGAATTTAATTATAGCACGATATTCAATTTTTTCCATTTTTACAAAATGACGACACAAATGATTGTCAAACAAGAACTGAACGTCCAAAGTGACCACAATTGTCACAGATATCTTTCGTAAGTATCACGATTATAATATCAGAATGGCTTTGACGAGTAACGCCATCTTCATGATGAGGCTCAAAACTTTTCAGACGACCCTCGTAATTTACCGAAGTTTGACAAAAATGATAATCAAAAGTTTGTTATCTCGCCAGACTCTGATATAAAGGTCTCTATAAATTACAAGACTGTCTCACTTTAAAGTCAATAAACTATATAAGGGATTTTACTAAATGATTAATTTCGAAATATCGTCATCAATACTTCCTCAGTATATGAAAAAATATGGATACTTCTATTCTATCTATCAAGTCTTTTTGTTCTCTTTGGTCTCGAATGAAAGAGTAAGGTATATTTTACGCTTTCTTTTCATTGGAATTTCTAGTGTGGGAGTAAAATGTAGAAATATGGACAATTCTACTAAATTAGATTTGTTTCGACTCATAATCGAGCAATTAACTTGACCGAAGAAAGACGATCTCGAGATTGCTCAAGTACGCACAATTTCTAGACAGATTCTCCGATTTCACTTATCTAATCACCGTTATCATTTACACACAAATTCGCTTGTATGTGATAAATATTCCGATTTGATAACACGGCAAGAAAGTGTTCTTCCTCGAAACCTGCAATCTCGGAAGTAACGCAAAATGATCTGTTTAGAAAGATTGATTGACGTATCATACATGTAAGTACGGATAATAAATCACTCAAATGACAACACGAATGTATACACAGAAAATACCATCTCTGTAATCTGCAAATTCTTTAGTTTTAAAGTGGATCTTCTTCTATGCGATAATATCGAAGGAAGATTTTACTTAAATTAATTTTAGGACTTCGCAATTTTCATTCTAATATATTGATAGTTTTAATCTAACAAATGTTAGTTAAAACTACATCAATATATAAAAATGGAGATAATTCAGAATAATTATAATATTTTTTATTGCATCTTAATTTACTTTATAAAAACTTTGTCCCAAGATTTTTTAAAGAAAAGAATTAAATAAAATTTCAGGACTTTTAAGAGCTTATAATATATAATAGAGATAATTTTCAGGACTTATAATATATAATCTTTTATTTGTTAGTTAATTTTAAACGAAATATTTCGTTATGTTATATTTATTTTATAAGTCTTGAAAATTATATCTATTATATTACATATTATAAGCTCTTAAAAGTCCTGAAATTTTATTTAATTCTTTTCTTTAAAAAAATCTTGGGACACAAAGTTTTTATAAAGTAAATTAAGATGCAATAAAAAATATTACAACGATATAATTATTTTGAATTATCCATTTTTAAATATCTACATTCATTTTAAATCACTATATTATTTGATTTTATAATTATGTATCATGATTTTTGAAAGAGAAATCCAATGTTCAATCTGTCATAATAATTTTCATCAAAAAAGTATTAAATAGGATAATGAATAAAATTAAAATATTTCTTATTGTTAAAACGATTCTACATATTCATTATATATACAATACTTAAATAAAAGGTGCTATATATTTTGTGTTTTTAATTTATGATTTGCATCCAAAATTTGTTTTTATACACTAAGATCATTCATTCGTTTTTTTTTATAATGGATTTTTTTTCTGATTCAAATTGGAGTCACAATATACAGGATGTCCCCTAATTATTGACACAGCGCTCGTATGGTAGAGCGGACTAAACTGAGGAATTGAATCGAAAAGTCCTCTATCTACCATTTTATAATTCCTGCAAGTTAATGAGATATTAATTTCTAAAGATTACCGAATAAGTAGGTGAAGTCGACGTACAAGACAACTTTAAGATATCTTTCATAATTCTGTAGGAAATATTTTAAAGATGTTTCTTCAAGAACTGTTAAAGATATCTTGAAATTGTCTTGTACATCGACATTCTACTCGTTGGATAACTAAAAAAAAATTGCGAAAATTATAAAATGGTAGATGATTTTTCAACTCAATTTAGTCATCTTGCACATGAACGCCATATCAATAATTAAGAGGGGCACTATATATACTTTGAATCGGTTAATCTGAGAAATAATCCATTCCAGACATAAATAAAGCTTTTATTCTCGTTTAATAGCTATGCAGATTATAAAAAATTAAATACTCAGAAACATTTGACAGAAGTTGTTAGATCTTTTTTCGAATATATTAATTCACTTGTGCGAGACTGATAGCAATCCCAATTTAAACAATTGGAACGAGGAAAAAAATTAATTGTTTTACAAATCATGTAGAATCTATTAAAATATGCTATTCGTCAGCCTATTATTTCGTTAAGGAGAATTATAATCGCATTAAAAATTCGGATAAGTTAGGCCGATTTTATAATCGATTCTTATATTTAAGATTGTCTTAAATACAATCTTTAAGATGTCATAAGTCATATAAAGTCAATCAGAGAACTATAACATCTTAAAACATTATTTAAGATGATTTTGGAATAAGAACCGACTATGAATATCGCCCTTGTGAATATCAGCCTTAGATCCGACTCCACCACAAAATAAGATTATCTTTAATCTCAGTTTAACTTACTGTTTTATTCTAAGAATTAAAATCAGAGAACTGTAACATCTTAAGACATTACTAAAGATGATCTTGAAATAAGAACCAACTATGAATACCGCCCTTATGAATACCAGCCTTGGACCTGATTCCATCAAAATAAGATTATTTTTAATCTCAATTTAACTTACTGTTTAGTTTTATGAATTAAAAAAGATAAAGAGCAAATTGAACCGGGACTAAGTTAATTTTACGTTAGCGGAACCGGGTCTTAGACATCCGTCAAGGTATTATGAGTGCTCGCACGTCTGCGTCAGTATAATAATATTTGTACCAAAGTCGATGTAGGACGCGAGCAGACACGCGAAGGACAGAGGCGAGGTAAACAGTTTACGTGCGCGCGAGAGAGGAAGAAAGGGAGAAGCACGTTGACATTTCGCGGCTTTCAGATTCGCGTATCGGAACACACGAATCGTCCCGGGCGCGGGCATGGGAATCGATCGCGGATCGATTGTTCGCCGGCGACGCGGGGTGTCGACCTCCGCCGCAGTCTCCGGCCCGCGAGAGGGTTGAACGACTCCGCCGTTGCCGAGTTCACCCCTTCTCGGTTCCACTCCCTCTTGCGCTCTCCCTCTCCCATCCGTTGGCTGGCGCGTCGCAAATGGGCCGAGAGGCTCGCTCGCACATACGCGTCAAGTCGCGCCAACGACCCGTTCGAGCATTACATAATAAGCTTACCTGCATCAGCGGTACTAGCGAGATATCGACGGTTCTGGCGTATAATTTCTTCCTGGAGATTTTCGTTACATCTCTCGCGGCGACCTCGGCCTGCCCGGCTTCCGGTAGGTCGTTGCGGACTCCGTCCTCCATGGTCGCTTCCAGGATGATTCGTTTCCGTCGAATTCTTTTTCCTCGAATGATGACAACGACGAGAAATGAAAATTCCAGCAGTGGAAACAAGATTCTCCGGCTGCGCTCCGATCAACCCGGATCGATTTGCCGGCGCGACGAATTGAGAGATCCGTAGAAGGTGACGGTGATAATCGCGCCGCGTGAGGGGACGAGTGGACTTCCGAATTTGGTCGCGCACGCCGCAACGAGGAGGCGCCCGATTTTCAACGGTGCCGGCGACGGCGCGGATATCACGTGGTCGATTCACGAGCGCGTAAACTGACGGGAGAGTACGTTAATTTGTCTAATTTTAAATTCTTCTGGTAAACGGCAGAGGAGCCGGACGGCAGATCGTCGCACAGGGAGTCACGCGCGTGACCACGAAGAAACGGCGGCACAACACGCGCGCGAGCGCGGACACCTTCACGCGGCTGATTTCGCGACGACGCGAAGTTGGACACGGTACGGGCGCTGCAGCGGTATCAACGTGAACGTAGATGCGGAATACTTATTGCGGCGTCTGAGATGCGGAAGATACGAACGACGTGAGACAATGCGAGGCGAACGACGGGGTTCGGCACTGCGAGAATCTTGTCGCCTCGGG